GAAATGCAAATGAAAAGCGCTTTGTCACAAAAGCAGTGCTGGGCCTGTTTTGGTTACAATCAGGGACTTTGGAGTATTGCCCTATTACTAGACAGTTACTCAGATCTCACTGGAGGAATGCAGTGTAGTGAAAACCCACTGTGGCAGAATAGGATCCTGGCTCAGAGTCTGACTTGATGGGCTTTGGGAGTTGGAAATGTACATTCTTTGGTTCTACCTTTCAGAGAAAAGAGCCATTGAAATCTAACATTCACTTGTGGAGGAATTAATAGTTTAGCAATCATGTATAGCTTATATTTCTATAACTTATACTTAATGTTTAAGTACATACAGGTACATACAGTTTGTATAAGTTACCAATTTTGTGCACATTGAAAGGACACTACATTTTGAAGTCCCTTTAAAGTGTGAAAACCTAAAGGCAGAGAAGCCTTTAGGAGGTGAATTCCAGATGCTACATTAAACGAGTGTATGGAAGGTTGTTTAAAAGATTTCACTTTTTTTTTTTTTTTGCATAAACTGGAGATCTACATAGCAATCAGAGGAGATATTTGGAACCTGTTGAGGGTTAACTGTAGCCTGTCTGGGCAAAGGAGAAATACTGTGGAAGTATTATATCTTTATAAATATAAATACTTCCCAGGTAGCCCTTGGGACATAGGAAATAAACTGATTTTCCATTGTCTATTCTTAGTTCAGATGATCACATTTGGAAACCATCTTTAGTTCTTAGGAGCTATTCTTGAATGTGCAGAAATGGATGCAGCTCTGGGTAGGGAGATTGCTATGATATATGAATGGGGGTCCCGAGGGTATCCCCTGTGTGCAGGAAAACATGCTGGAATGCTGGGCAGTTGCAGCAGCAGGCCACAGATGACCCATGCCATGTGTGCATGGTGGCGGGGCAGCAGTGGACATTCATTCACAATCCAAATGCTATATCTGCGTGGAAAAGGTTTATTATAGTAGAAAGACGAAGATAGGAAAGAGTGAGAGACGTGGGGGGTGTTGAAGAGTGTACACCTTGTGGGAGGAAAAGTGGAAGACAGAGAGGAGGAGGAGGGACCTTTCCCCACTTGAGGCTTTTACATCTGGACACAGGTGGCGCCAAGGGGCAGGTCACAATACTAACAGTGGTTTCCAAGGGGCAGGTCACAATACTAACAGTGGTTTCCAAGGGGCAGGTCACAATACTAACAGTG